CCCCCAGAAGTGAGCTGTCTGCCAACGCAGGGCTCTGGAAATCACAACCAGCTATGGGAGAAATCGGACTTTTTCGGTACATTTTTTTGTACATCTGTGTAATTCATACCCACTAGGTACACTGTAACATGTATCCTAATGGGACACAAGTATATGTGAGATGATCATGAGACAGATTTTAACTTAAAAAAATTTTTTTTGGGGAACGAAACTACAGACAGACATACTCAAAAGTAGAGATCACAGCATTAGGATCTCCTGGGTCAGTTAGGGTCTCATAGGCGGTGTGCTCACATTAGGATAATTTGAGCCGTTTCAGTTATGGTTGGGGTGAGAGGAGCCAGCCCAGAGGTGTTACCTCCCTGACCCCCCAGAGAGACCAGGGGAGGAAGTGGTTTTGAGACTACTGGTGGGTGTGAGGAGGGGACTCCTGGAGAGGGGCTGCGACCTCTGGTCAAGAGATACAGCCAGTCCTGGGAGGGAGACTCAGCAGGGAGGGAGCGGGTGGCACAGATCTGTTTCCACTCTCTTCTTTCCCTCCTCTGCTTGCTAGGAAGCCAGGGGGCAAGAGAGCTGTAGAGGCTGTCCATGTGGTCTGGCCTCCTGGGGTTCAGATCAGGATGGGGAGAGTGGATGACAAACGGAAAGTATCCGGCATAATCCCATATACCAACACCCAGCTGCAACAGTGTATCAGGTTTCTGTTGCTGCGTAACAAATACCCCACATTTTGTGACATAAAACTCTACCGTGGAAGATCTCACAGCTGAGGAGATGAGAAGACTAGAACCTTGTGGCTCAGGTGGGTCCTCTGCTGAGGGTCTCCCAGGGCCTGACTGTGGTGTCTGCAGGGCTCCGCCTCTTTCTGGAGGCTCTAGGGAAGAACCCGCCTCCAGGCCCCTTCAGGTTATAGCAGTACCCGGTTCCTTGTGGTTGTAGGACGGAGGTCCCAATTTGCTGATTGCTTTCCAGGAGTTGTTTTCAGCTTGTAGAGGTAACCTTGCTCCTTTGCTCATAATTGCCTTCTTCCATTTTGAAGACCCCAATGTTCAGTCGGGTCCTTCCTACCCTTTAGCCTCATCTTGGTTGCTTTCTGTTTTTGCCTTAAAGTTGATTGATTCTTCTGCATTCTGGCTTTCTGTTTTTATTTAAAAAAATTTTTTTTAACATTTATTTTTGAGAGACAGAGAGAGACAGAGCATGAGCAGAGGAGGGGTAGAGAGAGACAGAGATACAGAATCTGAAGCAGGTTCCAGGCTCTGAGCTGTCAGCACAGAGCCTGACACGGGGCTCAAAACCACGAACTATGAGATCATGACCTGAGCCCAAGTCAGCAACCGACTGAGCCACCCAGGTGTTTCTCCTCTTCTGGTTTTTAGGGCCCATATGCATTGTGCAGGATGAAGAATCCCCCTGTTTTAAGGTAGTTAATAACCTTAGTTCTATTTGCAAAATCTTTTCACAGAAGTACCTAGACTAAAATCTTGGAATCTAAAGAATATAGCCAACTACAAAAGTGATCAGCATTTTGACAACCTTTGGTAACAAGCTTTTTTCCCTTGTTTTAATTACAGTGATCTTTCGAAAAATAAGCTTTGTGGCACCTGGGTGGCTCAGCTGGTTGAACATCTAATTCTTGATTTTGGCTCAGGTCAATCCCTGGGCTGTGGGATCGAGCCCCATGTCTGTTCTCTCTCTCCCTCTGCCTCTCTGCCCCACCCACATCCCTCTCTCTCTCTTTCAAATTAAAAAAAAAAAAGCTTTATTGATATATAATTCACATGTCATACAATTCACTTAAAGTACACATTTAATGGCTCTTGGTATATTGCATTATTAATTTTTAGAAGGTGTGGTAGAATATATATATAACAGAAAATTTGTCATTTTAACTATTTTTAAGCATGTGATTCAGTGGCATTAATTACATTCCCAGTGCTGTGCGGCCATCACCACCAGTTACATCCCCAACTGGTTCATTACCGTAAATAAAAACTCTGAAACCATTAAGCATTAACTTTCTATTCCCCCTGCTAACAGCCCTAGTAATCTCTCTGCTAATCTCTCATCTGCTTTCCCATCTCTGTGAATTTGGCTATTCGAGGTACCTCACATATGTGGAATCATACAATATTTGTTCATTTGTGTCTGGCTTATTTCACTTAGCATAATGACTTCATCTATGTTCTTGGAACCTTTTTATAGCTGAATATTTCATTGTATGAGTACAACACATTTTATTTATCCTTTAATCTGCTGATGGCCTCCTGGGTAGTTTTCGCCTTTGGTGTAGGTGAACAGGACACCATGAACGCTGGTGAACAAGTTTCCATTTGAGCCCCTGCTTTCAATTCCTTTGGGTGTCTACCTAGAAGTTATGGTAATTTTCTTTTTTCTTTCTTTCTTTTTATAGTGTTTATTGTGGGGGGGAGGCAGAGAGAGAGAGGCAGACAGAGGATCCAAAGTGGGCTCCATGCTGACAGCAGAGAGCTGGATGTCGGGCTCAAACTCATGAATCACGAGATCATGACCTGAGCCGAAGTCAGATGCCTCCCCGACCGAGCCACCCGGGCGCCCCAGAAGTATTGTAATTTTTGTTCAACTTTTTGAGGAACCACAGAGGCTGTCTTCTGTTCTGCTGCAGCATTCTGCATTCCCACTGGGTATGCACAAGGCTTCCGTTTTCCAAATCCTCCTCAACACTTATTTTCCAGTCTTTGTTTGCTTACTTGCTTGTTTTGTTTTCTGATAGCCATCCTAATTGGTGTGGAGTGATATCTAATTGTGCTTCTGACTTGCATTTCCCTAACAATTAATGACGTTGAGCATCTTTCTGCCTGCTTATTGGCCATTTGTAGATTTCCTTTGAAAAAAATGTTTATTCAACTCTTCTGTTCACTTTTGAATTGGGTTGTTTTTGTTATGGTCATTGCTGAGTTGTAGTTCTTTATATATTCTGGATATTAACCAGAATTTGCAAATACTTTCTCCACTTCCGTGGCTCAGCTGTCTTTTTGCTTTCTTAATTGCGTCCTTTGATGCACAAAAGTTTTTCATTTTGATGGAGACCAATCTATTTGTTTTTCTTTTGAGGTTTGGGCTTTTGGTGTCATATACAAGAAATCATTGTCAAATCTAAGGTCCTGAAGACTTTTTCCATGTGCTGGGCACCCCCAACATTTAAAAGCAGCAGTCAGCAATCAGAACACACAACCCCGATTTTTGGAGAACGAGGTCCTCTGGCTCACCCTGGCCCCAGCAAGGCCACACTAGGAACTTGGGCTGCTGTCCCCTCAGCCCCACAGCGGGGCTGCACGATGGCAAATGGAAAAGCTGAAGTGGACCGAAATTCAGCACCCTCTTCATCACGCTCTCCCCTGGGTGCAGCTGTGTTCTCCTCCGTCCAGAAGAGTCCAGAGCAGTTCACGCGGACACCTCCTGCCAGGTCAGACCTCATCTTCACACAGAGGTGCTCTGGGAGCACCCCACTCTACCTTCTGCCCGGGGGTCCCCTTTATGTAACTAGGTTTGATGATGAGAATAAAACACTGGAAGGTTTCGCCCACACAGAGGCTGTCCCCTTTAGGAAGCTCGTGTGGGCAGGCTGTTGCTGGTTCCTTGGAGGCTGTCATGTCCTCTGCAGGCCCTTGGGCACCAGTCCCCTTCTGCCTATGACAGCAGCTCTGAGCATCCTGCCTGCAACGTCTGAGCCCCCTTCACTCTGTCCAAGTCAAAGCCCCATTCCCAGCCCACCCAGGGGACCCCGTGGAACAGCCCAGGGGTCTCAGGCCGTGGTCAGTCCCAGGAAAGAGTCTTTGTTCCTTCTGGAAGTGAGGGTGGGTGGGTGGGAAACACAGCTCATCTTCAGAACTGAGTTAGGAAACTCCATTGCCTGTGGTTTAAGGACAGTTTTCTAGAACATGAAAAAATGTCCAAAAAAATGGTTTGGGGTCCCTGGTAGAATGATTTTTTAATTCAATAAGCCTCTAAGTCTTTTGTGGGAAACAAACTACCCTTTGTAACATAGGGGGTTCCACAGATTTTGCAGATTTTTTTAAAGAGTTTTATTTATTTGAGAGAGAGAGAGAGTGAGCGTGCACTCATACAAGTGGGGGAGGGGCAGAGAGGAAAGTGGGGGAGAGAGAGGGAGAGGGGGGGAGAGAGAGAGAGAGAGAGAGAGAGAGAGAGAGAGAA